AGCTGAATACCATACATACATACATACATACATACATACATACATACATACATACATACATATATGTCTCATACTTTTAAAGACATTTTTACAAAAGCATTTTCTAAAATGTTTACTTAAAACACAAGAAAATTTTAAAGAAACAGCAACGTGTATAAATTAAACCAATCCTTTTACTTTTTCGGACTTCCAATATAATTTTTGCTTTCTTAAAATTCAAAACTTTTTTTATCATAAGTTATTACTTGTCTTTAGGTAAGGACAGAGCTTTGGCATGATAAATTTAACCATTACAAACTACATTAAAATATTTTGATTGTTAATTAAGTTCCTTAAAAATTATATTTGAGATTTTTTTCCTTGTGTCATGGTGGGTCAATTTAAAGTATCCTGATAAGGTTTTACCACACTGACAATCCATATCATCTTCCAATATGTCAACCAGTAAGAAAGCATATTATTCAAATTTAGACAGGCAAGAAATTTCTGACCATGTCATAATTATTAAAAAGAAAGAATATTATAAAAATATATATTTTCATTGTAGGGAAATATCAGAGATGCACTTCCAGATAAGTTTGCAATGTTAGAAATACCCATAGATATTTTTACTGTGTTCACTGTACATTGCTGAACACTTTATGGTTTCATTTAGGTAATCCTGTGAATAATGACTAATATAAATTTTTATTCAAAGAGAATTCCGATGATATGGTATAATTTACATTAAGGGTTTTGACAAACAGACAACACATAATTCAAGGAGTGAGTGAGCTCATAATACATATACATTTTATAGGATATGAATAACACAATTATGCTAAAACTACTTTGGATTCCATATATTTTTTTTTATAAATTAGGTTCATGTAGTGACTGTGGCCTAAATACACATGGAAATGAATTAACAGGTTCTATCTGTTAGAGATGAAATCTACCTCATTTTTGAAACCATTTAATGAATGATTAAAATGTGAAAACTGAAAGAGATGGCTTAAATAACTATAAACTTTATTATTCGTTACTGATTATACTGAACCTATAATTTGATGCAAAATTTGCTATTTAGGTTAGCACAATATATGTAGAAAACTTTTTTGTGTGTGAAAGCTAACACACAGATACCTTAAAGTGCCTTTAAATAAAGTCATTTTAAAAGTTTCATACTGTGTGTTCATTTGGTTTTTCCTCAATTTTTACTTAACTTTGAAAACCTATAGCAGCAGAAAAATGAAGAAAAATATTTTATATGAACCAATTATGTTAAATTTTTAGCACTGCATGCTTGACATTATAGTAATTCATTTTCAGAATCTTTATCATAGTTATTAACTTGAACTCAAAGATCTGCATAACTTGGCTAGTAGGATTTTTTTGAGGGAGAGATAACACTAACAGTAGAAGTTCCTTCTGAAATTGAAGGATGGTATTCAGAGGTCTCTGATGCTAGATCACACAAAAAAGATCTTAGATTGCATTATATTTTGAAGAATGTTCTCTTGATGACCACTGTTGCAGAAAATATAATATAAAAAGGATCACAGTCTATTACATTATGCTCCAAAACGACTTTGTTATGCAAACCTAATCATGTTTACTGAGATGAAATTTCATTTGAATTTATTGAGATGTTTTATTTAGGAAGAGTACTTAAGATTTCAAAATCTTACTAAGCATTTTCTCACATAAGCATTATTGTAGAATTGAAAAGATTTCACTTTTTTATTATATGGGATGTTTGAAACTCTTACCCTTGATAAATATTACAATGTTTTACACATTCCTGTTGGCGGATAAAATAACGGCAAGAAAAGCACTGGAAGGGTCCTGGGCCCCAGCAGCCTATATTTGAGCAGAGTGGATGGCAAACTTGTCCTGTGGCAGCTAAAAGACAGAACCAAGTGTTTATCATTATACCAGAAAAGAGAAATGTGCATGGCATAGTTTAAATTTATTTAAGCAATTACAATTTCTGAACTGTTAAAATCCAAGCAGTTGCCAAAATCCAGAAAAATCACCCATCCAGGAAACAATTATAATAGCATTAGCATAGCAATAGCATCTAGGTTTGTATATCACCCCATAGTGCTTTACAGCACTCTCTGGATAGTTTACAATGTCAGTATTATTTGAACATTCCCTCTAAAAATCTGGATCCTCATTTTACCAATCTCAGAAGGGTGGAAGGTGCCTGTCCCAGCAGTGGGATCCTACCTGTTCCACTACCGGTTCAGTGATCACGTGTGCGTGCACGCGCACCTAACACATGTGCACCTAACACATGTGTGCAGCTTTCCTCACATCAGATGAGGCCTGCAGCACCAATCAGCTGAGAGGATAAAGAAGAGAAAAGCGCAGGGGTGGATGGGAGGGCTGATCCTGCACTTTTCTCTTCTTTCTCCTCTCAGCTGATTGTCTGAGGCTTTTTTTCTTCCTCTCAGCTGATCTTCGGAGGCTTTTTTTTTTTTTTACAACTCGTCTGTCCTCTTAAAACTCAGTCAGTTCCCAGTACAATTACAATAAGACTACTGACCAATCATCCTTGCATCATAGCTTCATTCTGTGAGCCACATGTAGAAACTTAATTATGAGTTCATAAATGCTTAACTTTAAAAATATTGCTTTTGGAGCAGTGCTATAAAGGCAGGGTTTTTAGTAATGGATTCAAGGCTGACTCAGCCTTCCATCCTCCTGAGGTTGGTAAAAATGAAGACATATAAAATGAGGGGAAAAATGCTGATTGTAAATATTCAGAGAGTACTGTAAAGTACTATGGAATAGTATATAACTCTATGTGCTATTGCAATTGCTATTGCTTTTTAGTCTCTACTTCCCTGCCATAGTTAGGTAATTAATCAGTTAAAACTAATGAACTTGGTATTTATCAGAAAGTGAAACTAAACATGGGTTAGCAAACCTAATGTAAATAGCTGCTTTGTGAAACTAGAGAAAAGGTAAAGAGAAAATGCTATTTCTTTCATGTTCTGAGATTTCATAGTAATTTTTATTCATACATTTCAGGTTCAAAACCCATCTTGCTTTGCATCAATACCTGGGTTAATACATAGCAATAGCACTGACAAAGGTGGGATTCAAAAATCCCAGCAACTGGTTCGCTGCCCGGTTGCTGGGTGGGTGTGGCCATGGTGAGTGTTGCCTACTGGAACTTCCTGTTTCTGGTGGGCCTCCAGAGCCTGAGGAAGGCTGTTTTCACCCTCCCAAGGGTCTGGAGACCTCCCTTGGGCCTCTGGGGAGGTGAAAACATCCTCCCCCAGGCTCTGGAGGCCCACTGGAAGCCGGAAACAGGCCAGTTTCATGACTTCTGATTTTTCTGGGAGGACCATTTTTTGCCCTCTCAAGGGTCCAGAGGCATCCCCTGGGCCTCTGGAAGGGTGAAAACAACCTCTCCTGGGCTCTGGAGGCCCTCCAAAGCTGGAAACAGGCCTGTTTCCAGACTTCCGGAAGGCCCATTTTGCCCCCTCCCAAAGCCTCTGCACAGACCCTGCACTTACCTCCATCGAAAATGGGCTATGTGGAGACTCATGGGAGGGGAGGGGCAGAGTGGGCAGGGCCAGCCAGTTGGTTGTAATATTGGTTCGGCGAACCAGATGTAACTTTAACATCTGGTTCACCTGAATCAGTCCAAACTGATAGAACCCCACCCCTGCACTTAGACTTACATACCTTACTCTGGTGCTTTTGAGTACTCTCTGGGTGGTTTACAATGTCAGCATATTGCCCTCAACAATCTGGCTCCTCATTTTACTGAACTTGAAAAAATGGAACCTTGAGCTCCATCAGGATCACAGTTCAGGCTATGGGTAGTTTGCCAGCAATATTGCACTTTGACTATGTACCATGAAGGCTCCTTGGGGTAATGCTGTTATCCTACTGTATATGACATCTGTAAACATTTTGAACTAAATGGTTTTGGAATTCATGCAAGAAACTTATATTGCTTTTCAAAGTCTCAGACATCCTCATTTTTAAAAAAATCTAGTCTTATCAAAAAATTTGATTGCATGTATTGTAGACCAGGGCTCACCAACCTTTTGGACCTTAGGGACCACCAAACTCATAATTTTAAATCCCAGGGACTGCTAACTGGTTCTGTGGGTGTGGCTTAATTTGTGGGTGTGGCTTAGTGGTCTTGTGACTGGCCTGTATGTAAATATTATAAATATTTATATAAATATTGAATTTTTTATTTAAAAGAACAACAACTTTTACCCAAAATAAGGGAAAACAGGATTGAGTTGCTCACAGAAACACAGATTCATTCAGAGATCTATCTATCTGTCATCGGCTAGCTCAGTCTGTCACATAAAATTTGCTTGCAAGCAAACTCATAAAATTTACTAGCAAGCAAAAATAACTCACAAAAGTAACTCACAATACACAATAAAAAATTCAATATATTGAATTTTTTATATAAAAAAGAGCAATTTTTACCCAAAAGCAGGCAAAGCAGGCAGGCAGATATAGCTGCTCACAGAATCATCCAGTGATCTATCTATCTGCCATCGGCTAGCTCAGTCTGTCACATAAAATTTGCTTACCGTGAGTCTGCACTGAATAATAGAACCTTCAGTCATAAGGGAGGTTTGGCTGTGCTTAAAAGCAGAGCCGAAGATCTAAAGACTAGCTAGAAAGCAAGAAATCCAACAATTTCCTGCTTCCTAGCTAATCTAAATCTCCCAGCACAGCAGAACAGCTGATGGTTGGAAAAATAGCAATTTAGAAGGCAAGTTTGCCAGGTAAGGAGTGAGTAGGTGGGGAGAGTTCCCACGGGCCATGTAGGCGGCACAGCTTTGAGTTTCTGTGGAGCCTGGATTAATTGCTCGGGGATGTATGTGCTCTGGGGATGTGCTCTGCGGCCCACCAATTTTTTTTGCAGCCCACCAGTGGGCCACGGCCTACTGGTTGGCAACTGCTGTTGTAGACCACATATTCATCATCATCAACATTTTAGCCATTGTCTATCCACTGCAGGATGAAGGCCTCTTCTGCATGTTTCCAACACTTTTGAACTTTCCTTTGCCAGTTGGGTCCACAATATTTGCTGATGTCATCTCTCCATTTTGATTTAGGTCTCTTTTGTGGATGTTTTTCAAGTGGAACCCATTCTAAGACCTGCTATCAGTTCTTCTTGCTAAGTGACCAGCCATTCCCATTTCAATTCTTTTATTTTTTTGATGGCAACATATATTTTTGATTATTCTCTAATCCATGTACAGGTTTCTAACTAATATATGAAAAAGCAATAGCAACAATTTGGGAGCTAGAATACAAGCCCACATTTATACCATTTACACTTATACATAGCTAATTGCTCACAGGATAAGTACTTTCCCAGTTTTACCAGCATGTCTGTAGATTCATATAAGAAACCTCTGTCATAACATTAGCAAAATGATATGAAAATGCTGGCAGACCTAGATTCTGCACATGTGCATGCATGCACTAAAAGCCAGCAGAGGCCTTGAGGGAAGAATGTTTGCACAGCTCAACGGTATAGATAAATGCATACACTAATATGATGAACCATGTGATCTAATTAATTTTAAGAATATAAACTAATTTTCAGAAATATATGCCATTCATACATGAACCATATACACTTACCACATTCACTTTCATTTCCATTTTTGCTTATTTTTATTTTCTGTTTTGGTGTTACAAAAAGTTTCTTCCAATCCAATGTATTGCCATAGCAAAGGTGGCTGTTTCTCAAAATGGCTACATCTCCATCACTTATTTCTTTGAGAGACCGTAGTCCCAAAGATCTGATATTCAGGTTGATTACTGCAAGAGCATATTGACCTCTAAGGCAGAAAGATTAAGAAAACATATCAAACAATTTATTCATTAGGTTCAGAATGATACTTAACTCTGTAAGTGGGCAGTGTACAAGTCTAATGACAATATTTGGTCTGTTTCAACAGAGCTTTGTAAGTTAAAACAGACAGGAAGCAGCAGGTGAAGCTAGGCAGAATCAATTACAATTAGCAGAGCCCCTCCCCAAGGCTGTGTGCTTTCTCTACTTCTCTTCTCCCTCTATACCAAAGACTGCATCTTGAACGATCCATCAGTTAAAAAACTGAAATTTGCAGATGACACAACAGTGATTAGTCTCATCTGAGACAAATCTGCATACAGATAGGAGGTTGTACAACTTGCCTCGTGGTGTAACCAGAACAATCTGAAACTGAACATACTCAAAACCAAAAAAATGGTGGTAGACTTTAGGAGAAACTCTCCCATACTACCACTTCTTACAATACTAGACAACACAGTATCAACAGTAGAGACCTTCAAATTTCTAGGTTCTATCATATCACAAGACCTAAAATGGACACCTAACATCAAAAACGTCATCAAAAGAAAAAGCACAACAAAGAATGTTCTTTCTGTGCCAACTCAGAGAGCTCAAACTGCCCATGGAGCTGCTGATACAATTCTACAGAGGAATTATTGAGTCTGTCATCTTCACCTCTATAACTGTGATTTGGTTCTGCAACCCAACAAGACACACAGACTTCAGAGGATAGTTAAGACTGCAGAAAAAACAATTACTACCAACCTGCTTTCCATTGAGGACCTGTATACTGCATGAGTCAAAAAGAGGGCTGTGAAAATATTTACAAACCCCTCACATCCCGGACATAAACTGTTTCAACTCCTATCCTCATAACAATGCTATAGAGCACTGCACACCAGAACCACTAGACACAAGAACAATTTTTTTCCCGAACGCCATCACTCTGCTAAACAAATAATTCCCTCAACACTGTCCAACTATTTACAAAGTCTGCACTACTATTACTAATAATCTTCTCATCACTCCTTATCACCCATTCCCACCCACTTATGACTGTATGACTGTAATGTTGCTTGCATCCTAACAATTTATATTGACTGTTTCCTAGTATGATTTGATTGCTTATTGTACCTATGACTATTATTAAGTGTTGTATCTTATGTATCTTTTCTTTTATGTACGCTGAAAGCATTTGCACCAAGATAAATTCTTTGTTTGTCCAATCATACTTGGCCAATAAAGAACTCTATTCTATTCTATTCTATTCTATTCTATTCTATTCTATTCTATTCTATTCTATTCTATTCTATTCTATTCCATTCCATTCCACTCCATTCTATTCTAAAAGTAATAGTAAAAGCTGAGGTAAGAATTGGCAAAGAACTTGGATCTCCTGGTACTTTTAGACTTCAAAGCCATTCCTTCTTGTTTCCCAGTCTGTAATGACAATCCAGAAATCAATCTTACATTATATACTTTCAAGTCTGATCAGAAAGCAGTTTATTTCACTGGTGTTCTCCAACTTTCACATAAAACTACAGATAGAGCAAAAATAACTAGCCACATAGTAAAAATTTCTGGAATCCTGTCTACTATGAGTTAGGAAAAACAACCCAAATTTTTCAGTTCACCTATTTATTTAAAATGTACTTAAGTGAAAATATTTCTGAAGGTATTTTCACTCAGTAAAACAGAATTAGCATACAGAACCCAATATAGATTATTTTGTTTGGAAATTGCTTTAACATTCTATTCCCAGAATGATCATAATGTGTATCAACTCCTCCCACACCTTGCAATTAATTTAAGCAATTTCAAATGCAGGTTTCAGCCCCGAAAAAAGGAAGAACGTTTTAAAAGTTTGTGTGTGTACCATATTGTAGGCAACATTTTTCTCACTATCTCCTTTTAAGAATAAACAACTTAAACTTAGGAGAAAAATAAAATGGGATCCTTGAGTCCTGTGGATTATTGAATCTGAGAGACACTTTTCTAAACAGTAACTTTGATAAATCAGAAGAAAGAATAAATTAAACATTTCAAACCATCTTAGAAAAAAGAAGAAATAGTGGCAGTAGTGCTGATGCATTCTACTTTACTTTCAATTCAACTGCAAACTAGCAACTGATTTATGGAAGAATAATGATCTGGTCTTTTAAAAAAATCACAACTCTACATGAGTACAAGTTTCTTGGCATGCTGTTGTACTTACAATTGTTTTGTTCTACCTCGTATTACTTCCAGATTTTCAAAGCTACTCAAATCAGTGACATTTTCAGGCCAAACCTGGATCAATAGAAACCCTAAAACAAACAAACAACATTTACAAAGTATTTCTGACAAAGAAGAATGTCTTTTCTCTTCAATTTTTATGTGAATATCAAAATGAATCATGACATTTCAGGAAGCTTCAGCAGAGAGTTATTTTAAACCTTACTTTGTAAACAGTTTACATGCAGGCAACCAAGTCAGTTAAATAGTGTGAAGACTGGGCTGTGGACTTAGCTGACCGAGCCACTACAGAAAAGCCAGTTCTCCTTAGCAACTCACCATGGAAATTTGATCATTTTGTAGAATATACTGATCCTTATTTTTTTTACTAGATAAGTCCTTTTCAGAAATGTATAAAATGGATGATTATAAGAGCCTAATATTTTGGAAAGAATCTTAAATGGACAAAGGACAAATGTTTCCTTTATTTCTTCAATTTTTCCTAAGCTATCAAGAAACATGTATATTTCTTGTCCATCAGTCTATGAGGAACAAGTTAAAAGACTATTGCCCCCAAAAACTTGGCTATAGAAGTATACTATCCAGACCCTGAAATGGATGAAATGAAATGAAATGAAATGGATGAAATGAAATGGATGAAACTATAAACAGATGTTTCAAATGCACATTTTAAATACAAAAAACACCGAAATACAGAAATGTTAATGTATCTCAGTACAGTATTAACTAAGTGATTTGCACAGTTGAGTAGAATGGTTAAATTTAGAAAGTTTAACCAAATTTCTCACCATGAACATACATGAATGTTTGACTAATGCAATTGTACTATTCCAGAGAGCTAGTCTTTAGAACTTCGGCTCTGCTTTTAAGCACAGCCGAACCTCCCTTAGGATTGAATGTTCTATTCAGTGCAGACTCACGACAAGCAAATTTTATGTGACAGACTGAGCTAGCCAATGGCAGACAGATAGATCTCTGAATGAATCTGTGCTTCTGTGATCAACTCAATTCTGCTTTGCCTCATTTTGGGTAAAAATTGCTCTTTTAAAAAATAAAAAATTCAATATTTATATAAATATTTATAATATTTACATACAAGCCATTGCCAGCCAGTCACATGACCACCAAGCCACACCCACAAATTAAGCCACACCCACAGAACCGGTTAGCGGTCCCTGGGATCTAAAATTATGAGTTTGGTGGTCCCTGAGGTCCAAAAGGTTGGTGACCCCTGATCCATAGTACAGATTATTTGTGTCTTCTCCATATGATTCTGTCTGACTAGTGTGATCAGCTATAGTGGGTCCTGTTAATTAACACCTGTTGATTAAGCAGTGTCTTCATAGGACTGAGGAAGTGTGCCTTCTCAGATGACTTTTTGCCTGTGGAATGATTTATTATACTGCACCTGAAAATTCATGCTTCTCCCATCCTTTTACCTTTCCAAAAATGGTTAAAGGTCTGACCTAAAACTAGGATGGGGATTGTACTCCTTGGGGTTTTTTGTTCTGTTTTCTTTTTTTTTTTTTAGAAAAAAACTTTATTAATTTTACTTTTAAAAAAACAACAACACAGCTACAAATTATATACAACAAAAAGACAAACAGGTCTTGGCATAGGCCAAGAGGGAAAGAGAGGAAGGCTTGAGAGAGGAAAGAGGGAAAGGTAAGGGAAGGGGGGGAAAGAGTAGGGAAAACAATTATAATAAAACCATATTTTTGTGACTGTCTGTAAGGTCCTTTCTTCTTCAAAACTATCGTCGGCGGTGCTTTTCTTTATCTCTGCTTCGGAGGCCTCGGCCTTAATTTTCTTAGAGGTGATCTATCTTTGGTTTAGCCAAATATACAAAGGATTCCAATTGCTATAATAGGTTGAGGATTCTTTATTTTTTAATGCTTGGGTTAGTTTGTCCATTTCGGCGCATTGTAAAATTTTCTGAATAACCATAAGTTCAGTGGGGATAGAGGGTAGTTTCCAGCACTGGGCAAATGCCAGTCTGGCTGCGGTTAAGATATGGATTGTAATATACTTCGATTTTTTGGATATTTGTTTATCAAAAATTCCTAGAAGGAAGGTGTTAGTATTTGGGGATAAACCCCCAAGCAGAGTATGCAGCAGCAGTCAAGCCAGGCAGGCAAATGAGAGAGAGAGTGGGCCCAAGAGTATACACACACTGGAGACAAAAACACTGTTTGTGGTTTTAAAATAGTTATTTAATTCACACAGAGATTAAGAAGTGTCATTCAGTCCATATGTTATTATCCAGTATATCCATCCAGTTACAAAGTCCATTAACAGTAAATACAATGTCTTTATCTGCTTGTAAATCTTCTCCTCCTGATACCTTTCTCTCAAAGACAACGCTGAATCCTCAGCTCACTAAGCAAACAGTCCTTGTGTTCAGTTGAAATGGTATCTGGCACAGTAGCCTCCAAAAGTAAGCAGATAGACGTTCCAGAACAGCAGGCAGCAGACCAGGAACAGAACCAGGTGCATCCAGAAGCCGGGTCTATTACGTTTCCCTTCCTACCTATATTACTGCCTGCAACCGCACCCACAATGACATTGCAGTTTCTTGTGCTTAAAGCTACAAAACACTTAATCCTAGGTTTACATATTTATTCAACCCAAACCTGGTTGGTGTATCCATATACCCAACATTCTCCCCTTTTGGGTGACATAAATATGTAATGCCTTTACATTCTAAACCCATATTTTTCACAACTCTCTAGATGCTTAATGGCACCTTGGGCTTTAGTAAAATGATCAGCTACATTGTCCTCCGACATGCAGTACTCCAGCTGAATCAATTTACTCTGTACAGATTGTCTTACATTAAGATACCTCAAATCTGTATGTTTACTTCTCGTTTTAACTGCAATATTAGTGGCCATTTGAATTGCTGCCTGATTATCTTCATGTACAACTATGGGGTAAGTTACAGTTATACCCATATCCTTCAACATTTGTTTGTACATAATCAACTCAGTACACAATAAAGATAAACAGGAGAATTCTGCCTCCATAGTAGACAAACTTATATGCTGTTGCCTTATAGACTTCCAGCCAATTAATGTCTTACCCAGCATTATGGCTGTTCCTGAAGTCGACTTTCTAGTATCTCTTTCTGCTGCAAAACTAGCATCTGCATAAGCACTCAATATGAGATCACCTTTTGGTTCTAAATACAGTGCATGGTGTAATGTTCCTTTAAGATATCTTAGGATTCTTCTCAATGCTATCCAGTGACATTGAAGCGGATCATTATTGTGTCGTGCCAGCTGATTAATACTAAAAGCAATATCTGGCCTTGACCAATTGCTAATATATGATAAGCTACCAATCAAAGATTGATATAATGCCTTATCACATTTGGGACTTTGTGTATCCATTTTGCAAATATCCTGACTCATTGGAGTCTTTGCAGGCTTACAAAGTTCCATCTTATAATCTATTAGCAATTTAGATATCTTATCTTCCTGAGATATCTTAAAACCTTTCTGTGTTCTCAATATATTCAATCCTAGATATCTCTTTATCTCCCCTAATTGCTTGATTTTTATTTTCTTGGCTAATGATGTTATTATTTCATTTGCTTCATCATTAGTTTTAGTTATCAGAGCAATATCATCAGTAAACAACAATAATAATGATATTTTCCCATTCTTTTCTCTCTTAAATAGACATGGGTCAGCTAAACCAGCTTTAAACCCTATATTGTTCAGTTCCTTTACAATATACTGGTTCCATTCATAGCCCGATTGTTTAAGACCATAGAGGCTCTTCTTTAATAACCAACAATCATTATCATTGTCTCCTTTAACTCCATTAGGCCTTTTCATATAAACAGTATGTCTTAGTGGAGCATGCAAGTAAGCAGTTTCCACATCTAAATGGTTAACTATATATTGCTTGCTTGCTGCCCACACTAATGCTGCCCTTAAAGTTGCTGCTTTCAGACTAGGTGCAAATACTTCATCATAGTCTTTTGCACTTTGTCTAAAGCCTTGGGCTACTAACCTTGCCTTATGGATTGTGTTTCCATCCTTATCAGTCTTTATTTTAAAAATCCATCTGCAGCCAATGGGTTTTTCATTACTAGGTAATCTCACGTTTTCATACACTTTCATATCCTTCAAGGATTGTAATTCCTTATTGATAGCTGCATACCAATTTTCTTTCTCTTTAGAAGGATATCTTTTAATCTCATCCACAGTATTTGGGATTCTATTTTCCTGGCACACTGTATTAGCCTGGTATCTATCAGGCGGTCTAGAAATACGTGTAGTCCTTCTGGGTATTACTGGGCTTGGTTGAGTTACTACCTGTTCCTCATCCTCAGCTATTTCTTCCTCTAGGGGCTGTACTTCTTCCTGTACTTCTTCCTTTACATTATTTTTAAAGTTACAGGGATACTTAATGGGATTTCTGTATGATTCAATAATCACCTCGTTATTGTTATCCTGTTCTAACTTATCCCATCCTACGTGCTCTAGAAATTGGGCATTGGCACTACATAACACCTTAGATGTGCCTTTCTCCCAAAATCTATATGCCCTATGGTTAGCTTGGTAACCAACGAAGAATAATTGTTTAGCTCTATGTTGCCCTTTACGCCTGAGTTGTGTAGGGATATGCACCCATGCTGGTGCACCAAATGTGTGCAGGTAACTCAAATCAGGCTTCCTGCCATGCCACATGGTGAATGGTATTTCACCAGTGGTTGAGTTAACCACATTATTTAATAAATGATTAGCACACATTGTGGCCTCCCGCCACATAGAATCAGGTAACCCAGAATCAGTTAACATGGTACGGGTCATTGCCTGCAGAGTTTGGCCTCGCCTTTCAACATATGCATTGTGCTGTGGTCTGTATGGTGCAGATGTCTTATGAGCTATTCCAGCTGCCTTTAACCTATTCTGGAATTTGCTATTAACAAATTCCGTGCCGTTATCTGTCACCAGGGTTATAATTTGCCGTTTGGTTTTTCTTTCAGCAAACTTTAACCAATTGAAGAAATGTTGATATGTTTCAGTTTTGCTTTTCATTAGGTAGCAAAACCCATATC